AACTGTGTGTCCCCTGCACTGCCTGTAGCGAGACCGCGAGAGCTGGGAATGCAGCTGCAGGATCAGAAGAAGAGAAAGACCTTGAATTCAGTGCAGGCATCCCCCAGCGCCAGCTAAGAACTTATCAGTGCTGCTCCCTGCATCCAGGAACAGCTTCCTAGCAGCCACTGTAAAGAGAGTTAACTCTTTCCTGGCTGAATCCATTGATATCAATAAAGATTTAAAGCTTTGATATCAGAAAGCTGGTAAAATACCACCTCACCTGGAGGAGTCATTCTGTTATGATCTTGTTATGCAAAATTTTGTATTTCATTGAGTATTCCTTTGAAAATGAGAAGAGACAGATAATACTTCGGAAGAAGCAGTGTATTCAGTGAGAATGAGAGCAAGTCAATGTTCATTTTCAGAAGTTTCTTATGAAACGTTAAATTTTGTATAAAAGGGATGGGGGATAGTTTCACTTCACTGAAAATTTTAGCTGTAACCCTCTCTTCAGGATCTTTTGATACCTACATATTCTGGGTGTACTGTTGTTTCATTGCATTATTAACTAACAAAAATAAGGTCATAAAATTATGCAATGGAGCTAGTTAATAAATGAGGACATTTTCCACCACTATTTTGATGTGAAATACTTCCTTATTTTATTTAATAAAAAACTTATCAAACAGCATAAATATGTTTTTCTTTTTTCTTCTTAAAAGGTGTAACTAGTAAAGATCAAATACTGTCTTTGAGAAATCTTATTTTTATCAGTGCTCTTTATGTAGCTAGGATTTTCAAAACATCTTTCCTGTGTGACCTACAGTGCATTTTTTTTCTGTCAGTGATGGTATTGATTTAGTTATTCTCCTTCTGCTGGGTTGCTTTTCTCCTCCTGTTTTTGTTAAATGAGTAGGAACATCTTATCTTTGACACCCACCTCTTGCCTCTATTGAATTGATTGCTATTGAAAAAAAAAAAATACTGACTGATATGTTAGACAGCTGGAAACAAACAGAGGAAAAAGATTGTGTATGTTAAATTCATGTCTTGAGAAACCAGGCTAAAAACCAGCTGGTCTATACAACTGATTCTCTTGAATATTCCTCCTGACTTTAGGTCATGGATAAATATGGGGAGTTCTATGGACGTGACAGGATCAGTGAGTTACTTGGAATGGACAAAGCTGCTCTTGATTTCAGTGATGCTCGAGAAAAGAAGAAACCAAAGAAGGATAGCTCCTTATCTGCTGTGTAAGCATTTATTTCTGGTTTGTGTGTGTGACTGGTTGGTTTGTTTGTAGTGTGGGTTTTTTTTGTTTGTGTGTTTTGTTTGGGTGTTTTTGTTTATTTTTTTGGTGGTTTTTGTTAAAATCAAGCATTCAAGGTTTGTCCCTTCAGCTTATGAATTTTCTTGCTGCTCTTTCATAGCTATGTAAGATAAATTTTTAAGTTTAATGATATACTGCATTTGTTTCATTATAAACATATATGCAGGACTCCACTGTTTTTTATGTATGAAGATTTAGTTCATTGCACAGCTGCTTGAATGCATCACGTTCCTGCTGTTTTGATAGTGTCATTACAACTGGGCTGGAAACTCCTTTTCATAGTTTGCTCAGCTCAGCTGGAAAGAATGGGCAACATTGGAACTATGTGTTTTGATTATAAAGAAATGATGGAATAAGTTTAAGTGACCAAATAGTTCTTGGAAGTTGGATGATCAGTCTTCACATATTTTTGTAATTTATTTTCCCTAAACTGTGTATTTGCCTATCATCTGAGAGACAGACCTGTAAAAGAAACCCTAGGCATTCAGCGTAATTGCATTCATTTTCCTTCTTAGGGAAAGGACATCTCCAGTTTTGTAAAGCACTGCAAAAATGTTTTTTCCAGTTCTGAGTCATAAAAAAATACTCAAATAGATAGAATATGCTTTAACAGATGGACTTTTAATGCCACGGATATTCTAATGTGAGGGTTTATTTTTAGCTTTCTTTAAAAGCAACATTTTATCAGCGGCTTTGCAAGGATTATATGAGGTAGACAGTAGGACTGCTTGTAGATTAGAATTGCATTGAATCAAGGGCTGAATTTGTAAAGATGGATCTGTAACATCCATCTTTTGTAAAGAGGGATAAATGAGTAAATAAATAAACAAACCTGAGACCATCTCAACAATCAGTTGGTGCAGTGTTAAGACCCATGAACTCTGTGGAATTGCAGTACTAGATAAAATTTAATATTGTGGTATAAGTACTTTCCAGAATGCTTTCTTACCTACTCTTTTGCTGCTGGATTATACTAGGACCCATGCTTTAGTTTAGAAAATAATTTTGGTTTTTATTACTTTTATTTATTGGTGTAAAAAGAAAATAGACCTACTTTCCCTTCCTTGTGTGCTCATGATTCGTATTTGTGAAGAAATTTGAAGTAATGTTTCTGCAAATAATCTTAAAAAACAGATCAGAATGTAGCAGTCAGAGAAGGCTGACGAAACAATTTCAGAATCAGGCCTGAAGGATGCCATTTTTTTGTTACATCTTTAACGTCTACTCCATGTTATATATATCTTAAAAAAAAAAAAAAAGTTACAGTCTCATCCATCTTTCATGTCTTTCCTGGAGAAATCATTCCATACTTATAACAGGTGAATATGCTGTGGGAACATAAACAACCATGACAGAAATTTACAGAACCATTCACATAAAATATATGTGCTTCAGGAAGGTACATGTATTCATTTTTTACCAGTTTCAATAATGAATTCTAATGACATGGCCAAAACTTAGGCATATTCCAGATTCAACTTTTGAAATACATTTACAGTTCAATGAAGAAAGAGGTGGGAAAAACACTGCAGTTGAACCCTTACTGCACCACTTTTGGGGAAAAAAAATAGAGAATGGAATGACTTGGTGCAGATGCCAGCTCTAGTGTTTCTGCTTCTCATTGTGCTGGCAGGAGGTGGCTGAGGCCGGACCAGACACCTATTTCTCTCTTAACACAGAAGGGAAATGCAACATGTTGCATTTCCATTGCCAATACAAATGAACCAGGATTTTTCTTTGTTTCCTTGACCCCAACTCCTTCTGTTTCTTAACTTTTTCTGTGTGCAAATAACCTGGGATTCCTTTCCATCTGTCTTTCTGCAAGGGACTCAGAGAAGTCTACTTAGAAGTGACCATGCTCCTTCAGAAGTTCCTGCCTGTCCCACTGATTCACTGCATAAAACCATCCTTGGTGTACTCTTACATTTTAACTCTGGAATAGCCATTCAGCTTATGAATGCAGTCCTGAGTATTTTTTTAAGAATATGTATTTAAACTTTAAGACTGTAATTAAATATTTAAATAGTCAAACATATTACAGTATTATTTAAATTAAACCAGCTAAGGGGAATGATGCAGTTGGAACTTTACTGTAGATTAGACAGAAAAGACAAAATGTGCGCACTGAATTTGAGACAATGCACTGCTTTTCCACTGAATAAGTTTCCCATCTGGGGTGGATGGTGTTCAACTAGCTGCAGCAAGGATGAAGTATATTTGAGAGGATAATATCAAAGACACAGAGATGAAAGTTATTTATCAGAGATGTCATAGTGAGGATTACCTCTCAGTCCCTTTGCCTTCCTAACGCTTTTGGTTCTGCAGTCCTTAGTCTAGTCAGAGTCAATAGAAGAGGCGGCTGAGGCTCAGGCATCTGCAGCAGCTAGTGACTTAAGGCAAATTTGGGGGAAAATAAGCAAGGCTTCTGTTGAATGCTCATGCAGTAGAATTCTTCACCTTTCAAGAAGAGAAAAATGTGCATAATTTTCTCCTGGAAAATGTGAGATTTCCATAGTTTAATGAGAAGATAAACCATATCATAAATGTGAAGTGTACGAAAAATAAGTGCAGTTGGCCTCAGAATGTGAAAGATGATAAAAGGTCTCCTTCTTCCCTGAATTATGCATATGTGAGAAACGCAACTTCAAGCCTTTTCACTTATGTATGCTAATGTAAGATATCTCCTCTCTTGATTATTTACTTGGGAATCTTAAGCCTATTTGAGCCTTGCAGAGGCTTTGCGTAGGATACCTTAAAGTAATAATCTATTCTATGTGCTGTGTCTCCAAGACAGACAGATAGCTTAAAGACACTGAGTAACTAATTGTTTTGGTTTTGTTCAATCCTTGCTTTTTGTAATAGTCAACTCACACCATTCTCTATAAGATATCACCTGCTGATATTTATTGCCTAGAATAAAGGGAGCATACTTCAACACAATGCAATAAAAATGGTATTTCCTACCCAGCTGACCAATTAATAAATAATTAATGCTTCTAATCTGATGGGGTGCTTTCTATTGTAAAAATAACATTAACAGAACATCTTCCCAAACACCTCCAATGAAACTCATTAATTGGTAAGAATGGTCATATTTTCATTAATGATTTTTCTTATAGCTTTTGAAAGATGGATCATGTTTCTGAACTGTTTTCTCTGTTAGCTTAGACCCCTGAAAGAACATTTAACAGAAAATTTCAATGTCTGCTAAGAAAGTTAATCTGGAGAGCTAACTAGTTAAAACTGACTCTTCCCAGTTTTAGTTTGTCTATCATTTTTTAAAAAGGTTAAATGCTGCTCCAAGGCTATTTTGCATTTTGAACTTAATGATAGTTGTTCCTCAGCTGTTAATGCCCTGTAGTTGCCCTGAACAGCTCTGATGTACAAACATTAAAATTATTCAGGGTGGGAAGTTCAGAATTTTCTTATTCCAGTTAATATTAGTATCATTTGATTGCCTGAAGATTTTTTTTTTTTTTTTTTAAGGGAAGAATAACCTACTATGTTATACTTGGAACAGTTGAATGCAGTAGGCCTTAGGAAAGAAGCTGTAAAAAGTCTGGGTTTTGTTGAAGGTGATGAAATACTAGTGCAGGTTGCAGCCAAACATAATACGGGCAATTTCTCACAATTTTCCTATTTTTTATTCACATTGTGCATTCTCACACTGTGCCATTGTTCACTGTCTCTGAACTCAGCTACTATAATTAGACTACTACAGTGTATGACAACCTGTTCAATGGTGCAGAATGAAGTCAAATAAAAATTCATTCAGACTAGGAAATTCATCCACTGTAATACTAACTAATGATATTCCAAGGGAAACTTAATCAGACAGTAAATATTACCTGGTGACTATGGCCTGAGTCTTCATGGGAGAAAGTCAGGTGAAACCTTAGGCTTTAGTTTCTACAGAGTTGCTGTCTACCATGGAGGGAATAATAAAGCAAAACCAATTGCTGACCGTACCATCAGTGTGCTTAGTAAACTGTGATCAACTCTCATTCTTTAAAAATTTTGTACCACCTATGAGAAGTTTTAGATTTGTTAACCTCTTCATTTGTTGTATTTGCATAGGTAAAAAACTCCCAGAAATGAAATGTTAAAAAAGAATATTAGTGTCTGTTGAACCTTGTTTAACTAGATAATAGACTGTAGAATTTAACATTAGTCTCTGTGCTTATGTTAATTTTGTCTTCACAGAGCATCAGTAATATAACTGTGCTCTTTTACCTGCTCTGAGCTAAATGTTTAGTCCTGTGGAAGTTCAGCGAAGGTAGAAAAGTATAATTCACCCTGAATAAAGGGCAAAAAAAATGACCCTAAATGAGTTACTGTATCATCTAAATGTTTGCTGCATAGAAGTACAATGTATGTATGAAAGATCTGCCGTGTATAAACATGAGAGCGTCAAGTCTTTCATGAGTCAGAAAACTTCTACATTTCTTCTGCTTTTCAGTTTTTGTTCAAGTAGACTAATATACTTCAGAAGGATAAATGAAATCTTAATTAAAATAGGCTGTAGACTGTTTAAAGTAGAGGCATTGACCTAAGTTTGATTCAGTGCTGGTTTTCATTTTCAGTAGCTACACTTATATCTATGTAGTGCTTATAGTACTTTACAGGAGGTTCACCTTGAGTCTTTTACCTTTTAGTTTTATATGTAAAAATTAGGTTAGTATTTTTTGTATTAAAGAGTAAATGCTGTTGCATATGATACGAGTATTAGTTTAGTATTTTGATGGCAAAGTATTCCTTAGAGGCATAATATTAAAATAAAATGATTACTTTTATGTGGTTAGGCTCTGGCTATACTAGTAAGAATTTTGGAAATCAGACCTTGATAGACCAGGGCTTAACTCTTGGTATTCCATCTGAGGCCTCAAGTCATTCCATATAAACATCTGGCACAGAAATACAATGTGCTTTCATATATAGCAGGTGTATGATATCTGCCAGCATTATTTCTAGTTGTTTCGTCATTGTCAGCAACTCTTCTCTTTCAGGAACACTGAATTCACTCATATTTTAAGGATAAAACTTGGACAGATGACATTTTTCATTCTATTATTAATATTCATGAATTGTGATCCAGGTTTAGAATTTTTTTGTGTCAATACAATAGAATTACTTTGTAATATTGTGTGCAATCATAGAATCATAGAATCACAGACTGGTTTGGGTTGGAAGGGTCCTTAAAGCCCATCTAGTTCCAACCTCCCTGCCATGGGCAGGGACACCTTCCACTAGACCAGGTTGCTCAAAGCCTCATCCAGCCTGGCCTTGAACACTTCCAGGGATGGGGCATCCACAGCTTCTCTGGACAACCCGTTCCAGTGCCTTACCACCTTCTCCATGAAGAACTTCTTCCTGTTCCACAATCTAAACTTACCCACTTTCAATTTAAACCCATTACCCCTTGTCCTGTCACTACAGGCCCTTGTAAAAAGTCCCCCCCAGCTTCCTTGTAGCCCCTTCAGATACTGGAAGGCTGCAATAAGGTCTCCTCGGAGTCTCCTCTTCTCCAGGCTGAACAAGCTCAACTCTGTCAGCCTGTCCCCATAGGAGAGGTGCTCCAGCCCTCTGAGCATCTTCATGGCCTCCTCTGGACTCGCTCCAACTGGTCTCTATATATCCTATGTTGTGGGTTCCACAGCTGGATGCAGCACTCCAGGTGGGGTCTCACCAGAGCAGAGTAGAGGGGCAGAATCCCCTCCCTCGACCTGCTGGCCACACTTCTCTGGATACAGCCCAGGATACGGTTGGCTTTCTGGGCTGCCAGCGCCCACTGCCGGCTCATGTTCAGCTTTTCATCCACCAGTACCCCAAGTCCTACTCCTCAGGGCTGCTTTCTATCCGTTCTCCACCCAGCCTGTACAATAGAGAGATCCAAACCTTTCTAAAAAGAAGTGGTCAGAAACTGGAGAGGACAAGATACAGTAACAAGCAAAAGTAGTATACATCTTGTTTCGTAAGTTAGTTTTATCACTTCTGCATAAAGGAAAAAAAAATGCTTCAAGAAAATTAATGGGTTTAATTCTAATGCAAAAAAACGTAGCTTAAAATTGACAAATTTATTTGTATTGATAGAATAAGAGGAGAGTTAATACCTAAAGTTAGTAATTAAAGAAATACAAGGGAAACATTTGGAAAGAATAGTTTACCAGTATATACAACATAAATTTTTTTTAAGAGAGGAGAGCAGTAAAAGAGCCTAACTGGCTAATAGAACAAAGCAACAAAAACTGTGGAAGAAACTGGGAGCCCAGAGCTGCATCCAGCCCTCCAGGTGTGGCCTTACCTGTGCTGAGTGAGAGGGGAAGGATCACCGCTCTCAACCTGCTGGCCATGCTCCTCACAGAACTCAGAGTACCATTAGCTTTCTTTGCATGAAGGTACATGGGTGGCTTATGCTTAACTCGCAGTCCACCAAGAACCCCACGTCCTTCTCTGCAAAAGCTTTTAATAAATATTTTTCTTTGATTCACCTTTATTCTTTGTATCAGTGGGAAAAGCAAAGAACACAAGCACTGGGATTCATGTCGCCTCACTTTGTCTTTAATGTCATCTAATTGTATCACCCAAGTTATGTTATTATAAATATGGTAAAGAACTGGCATTTTGGGGTGCAAATTTTCTGCTGTATTTTGACACCTACTTTAGGTTTGGATGGGTCACATTTAAAACAGAAACGTGAATCATCTCTTTTTCTCCATGGATTATAAACATCAGGTTTTTTCACTTGTATGTACATGGTAACATTGTAGGCATCGTTCAGCACTAGCTTTGATAAATTCAAACCGGTGCTTATTAATATGTTTCTCTGCCTTTTTTTTTTTTTCCTTTTTTTTTGGACTATTCCAAAGTGAAAGTGTGAATTAGAACAAGGTTCTGTATTTCAGCTTTTGGGGGAAAAGCTTGTGTCCTGTGTATATGTGACAGTACACTTCTTACAGGTTCTGTGATTTTCCTATTGTGCTTTGATATAAAACAAAATGTATTTATTTTTTACAGGCTAAATTCCATTGACGTTAAATATCAGATGTGGAAATTAGGAGTTGTTTTCACTGATAATGTAAGTTTATCAGTGTGTGTATATGTATGCACACACCTTCTAAAAAGCAATATTCACTTGTTAACCCAAAATTCTTCAAATGGAGACATGAAATACTCTATTATATTTGATTTTCTGCATACATGAAGAAAATCTTGGAAGCTTAAAAAGACATTGCCAACATCTTTTCCCAGTTACATAGGTATTAGTCTATAGAGCCTCAGTCAGTTTCCGCCCCCCTTCTGTTACGCTTTATTCCAGAGCAGTAAGCAAGCACTGTACTGTACAGTGAGAAAACTGACTACCTAAATTCTAATTGTCATTTTTGATGTTGTTCATAAACTTTATGAACACCTGAATATCCCTCGAGCACAGTCAGATTGTTATAGTTAATGTATGTGAAATTGCTAACATTTATGTCACTGAAACTGGTAGTAGGATGTGACACAGAACAAGGCTGATGATTTTAATAGTTAGAATTAAAATGAGTCTAAAAAATCGAACAAAAAGGAGAAATTTTAAACAAGACTCTTAAAATACCTTGCAGTTTAAGAAGTCACTCATCATCAAGTATTATAATTATTGCTTGCCTAACTCAGCTTATTTTACTGTGGAAAAAATGGTTGGGGAACAAATGATTTTGGAGTTAGGACTGCTGGACTGTGAAAATGTGATCTGACTTTAGTCAGGAAGATTGGAACTATAAGTCTCCAAGTCTACAGATAGCAAAGAGTTTGTTTGGAATTAGGTTATTTCTAAGGGAGGGATGGTAATTTATCCTATAAATATGAACTTCTCTTTCAGTCAAATAAAAATTATAGAGGAAAAGATGACATTAATATTTTTAGTAATAGTAAATACTTAAATAATACTTATATGTTTTAAGCAGTAGTTTGAATTAATTAGAAAATTCCATTTGTTGCTTGCACAGTCCTTTGAAGTGTCATTACCCTCCTTATGGTTTTAATATTGCACTGTAACAATACAGAAATTCATAAACAAAATACTTAAATCAGAAAAAAAGTTTACGTTCAAAACATTAGCAAATAGGTTTGACAATTTCAAAATCAGGTTTCACAAATTCAAATTTAGAGTATATCAATTCTGACCATGTCATGTGAAGTCTGTATTTCCTTATTTCACATTTTTCACAAAAAGTAAATTCTCAAAGATCTCTAGCAAATGCTATGTAAAAAATAAGAACTGTTTTCTATTTAAAGAAAAGCACAAGCAATATTTACCTTTTCTTAGTGTTTTGAATTGCATTAAAGATAATAGCCATGAGTTTTATTTTGTGATATACTTGTTTTTTCTGTTAGTCTTTCCTTTACCTAGCGTGGTACATGACCATGTCAGTCCTTGGCCATTACAACAATTTTTTCTTTGCTGCTCATCTCCTTGACATTGCGATGGGATTCAAGACATTAAGAACTATCCTGTCATCAGTGACCCACAATGGGAAACAGGTATCAACTGTCATCTCTTTCCAGCTTTTTTACTTAAGGAGTACACAGGAAAGATCACTTAATGACTTAATTCAGCTGCTCTGCAGATTGACAGCAGAATTGCTCTTTCATCATGAAGTTTAGAACTTGTGTCAGTGGGATTTATAAGCATAAGAAAACAGGACTAGGAGGTACAGCAGTCTTTAGCTCTTATGACCAACTGTGTCATAAGTTTGCTGTTTAAAATTTTATCAAGATTCACCTAAAGATCCAGTTGAGACTCAGTTACTCTTTCTGTTAGAGAACTTTTTGAGAAACTCAGATCTTTGATAAGAAATATTTTCTTATGAAAGCTATAGAATCTAAAATGGTATTTCTGATTGCAGTAAAGAAAATAACTAAGGCTTTTTATCTACTGAGATCTGTTGTAGGAATGGCATTTAATGTAAACTGAGATGTTGTGTTCCTCAAATCTGATGACCTTCTAAGTTGAAAGAACCTTCTGTAAACAAATTTTAAACATAAAAAAGCCATCCTTTTTCTGCTTAGAAGATCTTCCAGCAAGGCAGCTAATATAATTCTTATACAAGTGACTGCAAATGGTAACATAAAGGTCGTCTCAGTTGTGTATGTTTATATGCTGGTTTTGAAAGGTAGCACTTCAGCTCTGACTTTATATATGTGGGTGCTTTAGAAGTCTGATGGCCAGTGCCACTTCCAAATTTATCAGTAGAAAGTTATTTTTCAGGGTTTTTGTTTTTATTCTCTTCGGTTTTAAGCAAGTTTGATACTATAGAAACAGAAAATTGTTAGCAATTTTTTTTTATAAATGTAAAGGGTGATTGACTTAATTCTCCCTTCAAATGTACTGTCCTTGTCAACGTTTTTAAAGAAGTAATATACCTTTAAATGTACACAGGTCATATTTCAAAATTTTTACTGAAGCACATGACATATACAGATGACTCTTAAGTATGAACTCACCTTGACAAACTGTTATTTCCGTTTGTTGGGCAAAGTTACAATTTTTGTTCCATAAATAAAACTTGTCCTGAAAGTTATAGAAATTAATATACTTCATCCTTTGCCCTTTGAAGAACACAGTTTCTTAGGTTCTTAGCTATGATTTGTTAAAAGAACAAAAAAGAAAAAAAATCAGTCTGCACCTGTAAAAAAGTGAAGCATCTTATCTTTTAAAAATAGTCCTGAAGTTTTAGCAAATTATCTCTGAAGGAAGAGGGTATTATTTATGATAAGGAACTTTTTAGGTCTGGCAGCTGTGCAAGTGAAATATCAATTTGCAGGTTATTGCAGTTCACTTCCAGCTACTCTCCATAAGGCTCAAGACAAAATTCTAGCGACGCTGCAGTTGAGCAGTGGGGTATTTGTTGCTACTTCTCTGAGGTAGATATTAAAATACTAGGAACAGCTTGTGTTTTAGATGTAAACAAAATTATTTCAATATTAAATTAATAGAAAAACTATATTGCAATATTCAATAGTAATACTATTAGTAAACTTTTATATATTTGTCTGATTGTTTGGGGTTTATATGATACTAATGGATTGTTTGACTGTGTATGTATCCACTAGATTTTGCAAGATTTGTCCTCGTAATTGTGTTTCTGAAGCCTAGTTTTCCTTCAAAATAAAACAGGTGAAATGCACAATCTTTACATGAACAGATGCAGTTATATTACCAAATATTACAAAGATATGCAATGAGACAGGGAAAAAGTAAAGTAAGTTTCCTATTCTGCTAGTACCTATAGATTATTGTTACTTGTCTTCTCTTTTTGCGAAGAAAATTATCTAGCATCGTTCCGTGGTGGTGTTACATTCACCCTGTAATTTTGTCTTCCAGCTTGTCCTTACTGTGGGATTACTGGCAGTAGTAGTCTATTTGTATACAGTAGTTGCATTCAATTTTTTCCGCAAGTTCTACAACAAGAGTGAAGATGGTGATATGCCAGATATGAAATGTGATGATATGCTAACAGTAAGTCTTACTTTGCATTCTGGATTTTTTTTCTTTAACTATCATGTTTTTGTCCTGATCTTCTTGTAATTCCTGTTCTCAGAGTTGTATCATTAGCCAGCAACAGGAAAGATTGTAATTAAAGACAAAGGAACAAATATAATGAACATCCCTAACAACTAGATATATCCCGTATATGCTAAACAAATATATCTAGAAATTATTAAAAGAAATATGATAGTATTCTTTGCTATAGTTTCTCAAAAAATTAAAAACTACAAGCTGTGAAGCTGAGCCAAGTCAGTTCAAGGGCAGTACTTCTGAATCTTGAGGTTCTACTGGCCATTCAGGAGAAGGGTCGGTCATTAGCCAAGACTTTCTGAAGTAGTTTAAGTACTGAAATCCTGTTTAAGCTTTAAGATGCATTTAAGATGCATTGCCATTAATATTCTTCTAGAAGCAATCATGTGGAACAAAATGAAATGTGTTTCAATATGTTACACAATAGGAGTCATTTCCAGGGAACTGACACCATTTAAAAGCCCAATTATTAGGTAAACTCTGGAAGCAGACTAGTATGTCTATATTTTTGTCCAGTTTGAAAACAGTGGAAGGCCACTAAATTGTCAGGTGCTGGAACACTTGCCCTGGGTGGAGAGGCTAAGGCAACCAGGCTTGTTTGGCCTGGAGTAGAGAAAGCTTTGAGGGGTGCAGTGGGGAGAGTGTAAGAGCAGCTCCCCGATGCCTGCAGAGAAGTTACTTGGGAAGAAAAATCCAGGCTCATTACAGCAGTGCATTGCAGGTGACCATGGCCATAAAGTGAAAAAAGTGTTCTGACTGAGGAGAGCCACGCAGAGGATCAGGATGCTCAGATAGGTTGTGCAGTCTCTATCCTTAGGAGGTTGTAACTTTGTATGAGCTTGTAGTAGACTCTGTTCGGGCCAGGATTTGGATTGGAGACCACCTGAAGTTCCTTCTGACCTGACCTGCTCTCTAATTGTCTGAAAATATACTTACAAAAAGGCTATGATCTTGTACAAGAATGAGTTAGAATAACATGTCATATGCTGTAAAATCAGAATTTTCTTTTTTAAAAGCAGTCAGATTTACAATGCAATGTTAAAAAAAAAGTACAGAGAATATATTTTTATTTTTATAAATTGAAAAAAACTTTTAAAACTTTTTAGATAACTAACACTACATTCACTTATTAAGTTACTGTTTTTCAATGGTGAAATATCAACTATCTAAAAATTGTTACATTTTTCAGCCATTGGTCACTTAGCATTGTAGGTTACTCTATCAAATTCTTGCATAAGGGATTTTGGCGTAAGTGTGGCATAGAAATAAAAGAATGGATTTTTTTGTATGGTTAGGTCTTAAGAATTGGTTATTGGTGTTGTCAACACTACTTTTTGATAGGGATTGAACCCTGGAGCTGTAGTTTGCAAAGCTACTTAAAGGAAAAAAAAGCATTCCCCTCTTCCAGACTCCTGTGAGCGATGTCACAATTTTCTATTAAATCTTAGCATGGTAAACTGAAAATTTTGCATTGTCAACATCCCACGTAACTATATACAGAAACCTATTATACCACTTTTCAGATCATAGTTTCACAGCATGAGTCTCAGGCTTTTTCCATCGTTAGCCTGTCCTGTGCACAAACATTCTCAAAGGTTTTGGGTTTGTTTGTTTTTTTGGCTTTTTGGGTTTGTTTTGTGTGTGGTTGGTTTTGGTTGGGTGTGGGTGGTATTTTTTTTTCTTTTTTTTAGTTTTTGTTTGAAACACAAGTTGTGGAAAGTTATTCACTTTTGAGGCAGGAAAATGGAAAAGGAGATGGCTGTCTTGGTAATGTTATTTCTATTTGCACGTGACTGAAACGATTGTACTGGTGTACTGCTGGGCTTAAGGTAGTTGAACCTTTGTTTTGAACTACTACATAATGGCAGAACATGAAATACTGCAGCTTCAGCTGTGCAGCAGCATTTCATCTCTCTCAGAAATATACCTAACCTCAAAGGGGAGAAAAAGATGACATGACAGAGTATACTTGCTAGACCATAGACCAGTTCAGCCAGCTACTGAATTCGTAACAGTGGGTGTTCTTACATTCAGCTGCAAACTTTGTTTCCTTCTGTTTTGTGTTTTCTAGTGCTACATGTTTCACATGTACGTTGGAGTACGCGCTGGTGGAGGCATTGGTGATGAAATAGAGGATCCGGCAGGAGATGAATATGAAATCTATCGGATTATCTTTGACATCACTTTCTTCTTCTTTGTGATTGTTATCCTGCTTGCAATTATTCAAGGTACATGTTTGTAACCCCTGGTGAGACTGAAAGCATTATTGAGCAATACGAAGATAGTAGCACTGTGGTATTCACCCACCTAAGATTCGAATAGGACACCAGGGTGGATCATGAAGCACAGATTTATATAGTAAATCACACCCAGCTGGCGTTTATCTGTACGCTGTTCTTCCTAGTCTTGGTAAATCAACAACCTCTAAAGGGATCGGTGGGAAAAAAAAAAGCTCTTTTCTGTGAGAATACTGGTGTCACTACAGTTTCTATCTTCTCATTGCCCTTTCTAAAAGCCTCTTACAAATGATCAGCAAGAGAAGTGATTAGAAATCTTGTGGAATTACCTTGTCTTTCAGCATAACCCACCCTTTGTGAGCTTATGTGGCCAAAATCAGTAGCGGGTGCTGTCAGTATTCCCCCTGCCAACACCTAATGTTCTTGACTGTCTGGCAGATCTTCGTATTGGTGGTAGTGTGAAAATTGGAACATAGCTTTAAGAGGTTTAATCTTTTCTTACATAAAAATGTTCTTGGTGTGATGCCTGCTTGCTTGAACAATGTCAAAGAGTAAAGAAAGGTGCTTGATATGAAACAGCTTTAGTATATCCTGGTTAATGTTAATGGGAAGTCGGCTGCCATCACGTTATCCTCTGCACTTGAGTGAAACTATTGGAGTGATAGTGTGACTTGCTATTGTAAGCTGGATAGTGATACTGAATTTTAGGAAGTCAGGGTTTTTCTTTTTATTATGTTTGTATTAACAATGTTTAATGTTATTACCTAAAGTACTTAAAAGCCCTATCTCTTTACATATTATACCTTCCAAAGGCTGTCAAGAATGCCCAGAAGATCATTTTTTATTAAAGTTTGCAAGCCTTTTAACAGAAATATATTCTTGATTTTGGAAAAAATGTGTAGTAATTTTTGCTAGGTCCAGTTGTTATAAATAAAACACCTTATTGCTTTCTGTCAGCTAACAATTAGCTAACAGGATGCTTTTGGCAGCAGTAAGGATGCTTTGTCACTTTCTGCAAGGAAGTTTAAAAGGTGACTCTTAGCTTGTGGTAAATTGTAACTCTTTCTCAAGCAACAAGCTTTTTAATGGGCTTGGGGAGGATGCAAAATATTTTCTAGCCTGAAGGGACATACCTCATACCATTTGTTTATTCATTTTGTGGGTGGCTGAAGAGTGGAGGCCTTAGCTGTCAAACTAATTCTCAGGTGGTATTCATCATTTTTACAGCACAGTAGTGTCAGTAATGATTGTGTAGTTAGTCCTTATGTGTTTTGGTGTAAGTAAAGTGAGAATCATAAAGAGTTTGTAATCTGACTCATAGAGCCTGTGGAGGTTTTTATTCTTCTTTTTGTATCTCCCTGAAATGACCCCTTACTTTTGTAGAGCTCTGACAGTGGAACCTTATACTACATGACAACCATAATGAGAGAGGATGCACAGAGCTCTGGGCCTCTCTGCACCCCCTGCTGTGAGATAAATCCCTGAACTCTGTTAAATGTACAGTAGTATTACTGCTAGAGTAAAACCTCTATCGCTGTAAACTCACATTTCATAGAATCATAGAAT